CACCCTCATATCATCACCTTGTTTTTTTCAAAAGAAGAGTTCATTCCTACCAAGTGGTTGTTTGCAACATAATCACTGATAATGTTGGCAATAAAATAACTAGGTGGAAATACTCTAAATATTGGACCCCACAAGTGGAAAATTACTGGAAATTGGTTGGTCATTTAGATCAAACATCATATAGTTGTTGAGCCCTTGATTTGGGTATTTAAAATCCTCTATGTTTTTTCCTTTTTGATTCCAAATGGCTTCTCCATCTACTTCGGTGCTTCTTCTTTCTCGCTTGTTTGGAATGGCTATGTTATGAATGTTGAGGTGCGATTTTTTATTCATCTTCATGCACCAAATTCTAACTCTTCAAACCTTTTATCTAGAGTTTCTCTCTATTTTGATTCAAGGTAAAATTATCTTATGAGAGCCTAGAAGGTTTAACACAAAATGTATCAAAAACTTGAATTTTCATTTCACCACCACGTAAGTTACCCTTCCATCACCATTGTAAGAGGACACCAACAAAGTTACTTCCTTCAAAACAATGAATCTATATACCTACATTACTACTTTTTGTACATTTCATGGGAGTAGATAGGACAAAAACACAATAATTAAGAATTATCTTAGAGGAATTTTTATTTGGTATTAACTTAATGTATCAATCCAGAAGCAACTGAAGAAGAAGGACAATGCATGCATGGTCTAAGAAAACTTTTTGCACTATGCATTAAGGATATTACCTTTTATTTATTATCTACTACGCATACTTGTACAAACTCCTCAATACCAGTATCGCATATAACCATCTCAAAAACAAAACTGTTTGGCTTTATTGTCATGAACATATCACCCAGAGACACAACTATCCAGTCCTGAACACCGAATAAAAAAATTAAATTATCTGATGAAATGCATGTTAGCCTTATTCGCCACAATAAGGGGCATTGAGAATCCCCATTTTATCATAGATTATTCTCAAAACAGTAAGTAGTACACAACAACAACAACAACAAGCCTTTGTCCCACTACATGGGGTCAGCTACATGAATCCTTTTTTACCATCGTGTTTTGTTAAAAGTCAAATTCTCATTTAAATCTAATAAAGAAATATCATTTTTAATATTTTATAACCAAGTCTTTTTAAGTCTATCTTTATCTTTCTTAACATAAGACAAATCTAAAACCTTAACTTTCCTAACCGGGTCATCGGAAGGCCTCCATTTAATGTGACCAAACCATCCAAGGCGACTCCCTCTAATCTTATCTTCCGCTGGAGCTACTCCAACCTTTTCATGTATATGCTCATTTTGAATCATATCTCTAAGGGTAAAGCCACTCATCCACCTAAGCATCCTCATCTCTGCAACACTTAACTTAGTATTATGCTTCTCTTTTAATGGCCAACATTCGGCACCATAAATCATTGCAAGTCTCACCACCATCTTATAGAATTTTCCCTTAATTTTGAGGGAGATTTTTCTATCGCACAACAAGCCCAATGCATTCCTCCATTTCAACCATCCAACTTGAATTCTGCTGATAATATCCCCATCTATTTCACCGTCACTTTGAACAATAGATCCGGGATATCTAAAACGTGTACTCTTATTAATGACTTGATCACCAAAAGTCACAATCCTCTCACTAGATCTATTGCTACTAAAATTACACTCCATATATTTAGTTTTAGATTTACTCAAGCGAAAACCTTTGGACTCTAAGGTTGACCTCTATAATTCAAGTTTATCTTCAACTCTCTTTAGTCTTATCAACAAGAAGAATATCATCAGCAAAAAGCATACACCAAGGTACATCCTCTGGCAAATGTCTAGTGAGAACATCCATGACTAAAGCAAAAAGATATGGGCTTAAAGTTTATCCTTGATGTAACCCAACCGAAATAGGAAAATACTTGGTAAAACCACCTTGTGTTTGAACACAAGTAATAACTCATGCATACAATCTTTAATGATTTGAATATAAGCATTATTAACTCATTTCTTTTCAAGAACTCTCCATAGCATTTCTCTTGGAACTTTATCATATGCTTTCTCTAAATTAATAAATATCATATGTAGATCCTCCATATTCTCTCTAAATTTCTCCATCAAACCTCTCAATAAATGTATGGCTTCCATAGCAGACCTACCTGGCATGAATCCAAATTGATTTTGAGAAATATTAGTATCACGCCGTAATCTATGCTCCATAACTCGCTCCCATAGTTTTAAAGTATGACACATTAACTTAATTCCTCTATAATTCACACACTCATGTGTATCACCTTTATTCTTAAAAATAGGAATTAACACACTCATTTTGCACTCATCTGGCATCTTTTTAGTCTTCAAAACAGTAAGGAGTAATTAAGATAATTCGGAGATCAATAAGATATATAAATTCTTTAAAGAAATTCTTAAAATGCTTTAATATGCTGACACATTCACTTTGAAAAGTGCCACCATGTCACAATGTCAACCATGGCCTATGTTAAAACTAAATAATAAATTTCTATAATGAACTTGTAAGGTTTTAACATTTGATTTGAAAGCCAGTTTCAAATGTAAATTTATTAACGATGGATGCATTAAAAAGTTAAGCTAAGGTTAGCATCACAAATGCAGATTTTATAGTACAACCAACTCGTGAATCACCCACAATTTTGAGTAAAACCCTACACATGCTGGTTGAAAAAAATATATTAGTTTCAAAAAGATAAAGGATTCTGGCATCTGATGGGGTAAAGCTGTAAAGGAAGGGCCCATAAGGGAACAGAGAAAAGGCATCGGAGCCATTTTATTCACTTTTACTTGCTAAATAGGATGCAAATAAGTTCTAAAAAATCAGGCAGATAGGACTGTGGAATGTCCATATTAAGGTGCTAAGAAGTACATATAAGTTGATCAGAATTTTTCAAGTAGGCTATGAACAAAGAATATCGCATCTCATCACCAAACCAAATTGCCCTTAAGTAATCCTCAGAAACATACACCAACTCTATAGCCTCTTTGATGTATAGGCAAGGGGGGTCAAATCATCTTGGGTTTTTTTGGTCTTTGGGCTGCTGGTTGCCTCTCGGATTGGGCCTTGGCTGCTTTGATTTTGAGCTAAATTCTTGGGAACTTCTTGGTTCTAGCTCATAAATGCTTGAACTAATGTTAGCTCATTAATATGAAAAGGAATTCTTCTTGTAAGCTCATTAAGTGGAGTTGAATCCTTGCATTTTCCCCTTCTTTGTGTCTCCTCGGTTTCTTCCTGTGCTGTTTTCCGTGGCTGCTTCCTTCCCCTTTGCTGGGTGTTGATTCCGGTCCCCTGTGCTGCCTTTTCGGTTTCTTCCCTGGCTGTTTTCCCGTGGCTGATTTCTGCTCCTTCCCGTGAGCTATTTTGTTTCCCCTGCTCTATCCTGATTTCCTGGGTGCCTGCTCCTTTCCCGTGGCTGCTGTTATCCGGTTCCTGTGCTGTCTTTTCAAGTCCTGTTACGGAATTAATTATGGCCTTTAATTAGGCTGTTTGGGTGTTGTTTCTGGATTGAAAGTTTGGCATTTCATCTTCCCTTAACTGATTAGTTTAATTGGAGAAATAAGGGGACTATTTGGCTGCCTTTTCTCCTATATATAGTAGATGTTTTGAGAGTTTTTTTAGTGTGTTATGACTGATTTTTGGACATAAAAACCTGAGGGGTTTTCTTCTTTGGGTATAGCTTGCGAGCTATGTCTCCCATCTCTTCTCCTCTCTATAGCTTGCAAGCTATATTTCGTCTCGGCTTCTAATCTCTTTCTTCTCGCCACAGGTGACCACCCCACCTATATATTTCTTCTCGACGAATGCAAGCTCCTTTAGGTGTCTTTATTTGTGTTTGTAAGCGTCAAGAGTTGTAAGAGTCATTTTATATTATAAAAGTGAAGTGGTTTTTGTTTTAAATGTCGTATTTTGTCTATTTTGGGGCATTTCATATATTTTTCTTTTATCCTAGGAAGTGCTATCTTTTTGGAAGCAAAAATTAGATTTTTTTCCTAGTTTCTTGCTTGCATCAATCTTAATAAAACAAGTACTTCACCTTGCTGAAACACAATCCATAAAACCTAATTTGTAGGATTGCATATGTTTGTACATAAATGGTAGCTAGCATAAGTACAATTGCACATCGTTGTGTGATAACATCCGAACATGTATGAATACATCATCCTACATAGGCACCAAACAATCCCCAAGACCTACCTTTGTCCCACATGCAGGCATAAGTTGGCTATCCATACCTCCCTCTTACATAAGCCCTTCTCTGGACATTCCCGTCACTTTCCAAAATGTAAGATAAACCACCAACCCCCTAATTGTTATCATTCTGTGTTTGTCTTCATCCAGAATTATATAGAGCAGCTAATAGTCATGTAAAGCAATTGCAAACCCTAAAAAATTGCACTTTACTTTTATAAGAATATGGACCTTTTTTTACCACAAAAAACATAAATTGCATTTTCATTTAAAAATTGCAAATGCATTTCCCAATGATTTCATTTTAAGCAATAAAAATTTAAACAAGATCTAAGAATGCTGTCAGTACAATTCAACTTAGTTACAATCAAGCAGAATCCTAAAATAAATCTTAGAGAACTTTAATATCCTTTGACAATATGCTATTAATCATCTTTCCAAATGACAGATATCCAAGATCTCTAACAATGGGAAAGATATGCTTGCACGAATACAGTTCACTTTTAGAAAAAAGAAGCCATTCCTAGAATATTTTCATGAAGATGAAGCATAAGTGATATAAAGAAAGCTTGGAACATGGTGTTTAACCATAAAAAGTTTAGAATCACATGACTGCAAATGAAGAAGGAAAGAAGTTCCAGGGACAATAGAAAATAATTTTTGAGTGGATACTTATGCTGGAAAAAGCATTACAGAGGGCATTGGATGAGACAGAATGCATTAGTCATTGAGCATAAATATCCTATTAGGATTATAAGAGGTAGGAAAAGGCACAGAAAAGTACAGACGGCGCAAAAAAAAAATCACTGAAGATGCTTATTCATTAAAGCCATACATAGAACATTTTTACAAAAAATACATTGCGATAAATAAAAGTGCATCTAATTGTACAAGAATCTAGCACTATAACAACAGTATCCAATACAATAAACCAAATGACCTGGCAAAGGTAAAAGAAAACCTTATTATAACAGTAAAAAGAATACTGTCTTCTATACTGTGGGTGCTCCATAGTCAATCGAACTAGCCTCTGTTTGCAGCAATCAGGTAAAGTAAAGGTGAAATAATAGTAAATAGAATAAGTTGTGTGATCATGAAGCAACCATGATAAATGTAATGAAAGCTTAAGGTAAAGAGGATGTTGCTAAAATATTGAAGCAATAAATGAGCTTTGAAGTCATTTAATAATACTATGAGCGACTCTCTCATAGAGAAGCCACGAATAAAAACTTCTATTACCAACATAATGTAAACAATTTTGGCTTAGAAAGTGCTGAAGGTGTGTGAATGTAGCTGTAAAAATCCTCTAATTAAACAGCATAAAGTTCTTCTACCTAGTTCTGAAAATTTAAAGTGCATGATTGTCTGGACTTTTATACATATGAGCAACCCTTTGAAATGACTGGAAATAGTTCTGCTAATGATTATTTATGGGAGATAGTAACTTTTATCAAAAAAAAGAGCTCATAATCAATATCCACACTACTATTGGAAAGTCGCCTGAGATTTCACTAAAACAAATTCCTGATGTTAGATATTGAAAAAAAGTGCAAGGGCTGCTACATTGATGCCGGGTGCAGTGTTAAATAAGCAAAAAGTTCCTATATCATGGACGGATATGGGCAAAGAAGTTAGTCCATGAAAGTAAAATTAGGATATGAACTTAGAATATAGGTTCTCGTATAGGCAAATTAATGGAAATAGATATTATGATTCATAGGAAGATAAATATTCTATGCATTCATGAAACTAGATTGGTTGGAGAGAATACTATGGAGATTGATAGTTTAAAATTTAAACTATGGTATTCGGATAAGAGTCGTACTAGAAATGAAGTAGATATAATTATAGATAAAAGTTTGAAGGATAATGTTATAGAAATTAATAGAATTGAAGATATAATTATAGATTTAAAGAATATTGTTGATGCTAACATTATTAATATTATAAGTATTTATGCTCCTCAAATAAGTTTAAATATATGTTCAAAGTTAAAATTTTGAAAATGACTTAGAAGAATTGATATGAATGATACCTATTAAAGAAAGAGTTTTTATTAGAATATATTTAAATAGACATATTGGTATAAAAATAGTAGAAGATTTTAAAAGCATTCATGATATTTATGAGTTTTGAGTAACTAATGAAGGTGGCAGACAATATTAAATTTTGTTCTAGCTTATAATTTTATAATTGCTAATATCTTATTTAAGAAAAGAGAGAAACATCTCATCAATTATAAATATGGATATAGTAAAACTCAAATTGATTATTTTCTTATAAGAAAAATAGATTATTTAAATGGTAAAGTTATTCCCAGTGATCACTTATTGGTTTTGGGCTTTAAGATGAAGAGATGAAATATGAAAAATAAAATTAAATGTCGCCATAGAATTAGATGGGGGCATTTAAAAAACACTTTCAAAAATATTTTTGAAAGCAAGATAACATAATAAAATTTTGACTACGCATAAGAAAATTAATCCTATTTGAAAAAAATAACTAGTTATATTAAGAATGTTTCAAAAGATATATTTAGAGTATCAAATGGAAAAGCCCCTAATAGTAAAAATAGATAGTGATATAATCAAAATAAGTAAGAAAAGATTAAAAAAAATAAGAAGCTTTATTAAAAAAATTGGTTTGGGTGTAAAATTTTAAAAAATTGAGAAAGATATAAAGGGGCTCATAAGAAATCTAAGAAAGTAATATGCGACGCAAAAAATTTAGCTTTTAGTAATTGATAAAATATATTAAATATTAAAGAGGATGAAAGATGTTTGTATAAGTTAGCCAAACAAAAAAATAGAAGAATCTAGTTCAAATAAAGTGCATTAAGGATGAATATCAAAAAGTATTTTCTTAGAAGATGATATTCAACATAGGTGGATGAGCTATTTCAATAAGCTTTTTAATGAAGATTATGAGAAAATGATGACTTTAGATAACTTAGCATCCTAAATAAAAATAAACCTAGTTATTTTTAACGTCATATTAGTAAAATCAAAGTTATAGAGATATAAAGAAAATGAAGTGTGGAGAAGAAGCATGGCCTGATGATATTATAATAGAGAGATGAAAATACTAAAGAGATCAAGAATTTCTTGGCTTACTAAACTTTTTAATGTTATTTTGATAATAAAAATATCATATGAGTGAAGAATGAGTATGTTGATTCCTATTTTAAAATAAAAATGATGCATAACAATGTGTGAATTATAGAGGAATTAAGTTAATGTGTCATACATTAAAATTATGGGAGAGAGTAACTGAGCATAGGTTACTATGTGATACTAATGTTTCTGAAAAAAAAGTTTGGATTCATACCGGGTAGGTCTACAATATGGAAGCTATACATTTGTTAAGAGGTTTGATGAAGAAATATAGAAAGAGTAAAGAGGATCAATACATGATATTTATTGATTTAAAGAAAACATATGATAAAGTTTCAGGAGAAGTGCTATATAGAAAAGAAAGGAATTAATAATACTTATATTCAAGTTATTAAAAATATGTATATACAAATTGTTACTAGCAGTCAAACAAAAGGTGGTTTGACCAAGTATTCTCCTATCTCATATGGATTAATTCAAGAATCAGCTTTAAGCCATATCTTTTGCTTTAGTCAGAGATATTCTTACTAGACATTTGCAAGAAGATGTACGTTGGTGCATGCTTTTTGTTGATGATCTTCTTGTTTATAAGACAACAGATATTGTTCAAGGAAAACTTGAATTATGGAGTTCAATCTCAAAGTTTAAATATTTTCATTTGAGTATATCTAAAATCGAATACATTGAGTGTAATTTTAATAGTAATAGATACAGTAGGGGGATTGTAAGTTGGACGATCAAATCATTAAAAAGAGTACATTTTAGATATCTTAGGTCTATTGTTCAAAGTGATGGTGAAATAGAAAGGATATTATTAGTATAATTCAAGTTGGATGGTTCAAGGAGGAATGCATCAAGTCTATTGTGTGATAGAAAAATATCCCTCAAACTTAAGGCAAAAAGAAAGCAGTGAGACCATCAATGCTTTATGGCACAAAATATTATCCATTAAAAGAGAAGCGTAAAATTAAGTTAAGCATTACAGAGATAAGGATGCTCAAGTGGATGAGTGGTTTTACTGTTACAGACAAAATGTGAAATAAGTAGCTCCAGTGGCAGATAAGATTAGAGAGAGTCGTCATAGATGGTTTGGTCACACAAAATGTCAGTCTTCTGATGTAGTAGATACAGCCTATATTAAGACAGTTAGAGATAGACCTAAGAAGATTTGTTTAGAAAGTATTAAAAATGATCCTTTTTTATCAAATGTAAATGAGAATTTGACTCTTACTAGGACATAATTGAGAAAAATGAATCATGCAGCTGACCCTATGCAGTAGGATAAAGGCTTGATGATGTTTTTGTCACTCAAATAAAATTGTAACCGTATATTGTAAAATGAAAACCAATACCCTTCCCTTAAAAATAATCTATTATTATTTCATATATTATTCAATTTGAATAATTCTAAAAAATTTACTTATTTTACTAATATAATTCCTATGAGTTCACCTTAAAGATAGTCAAAAATATTTTTCAATTATAATTCCATGAAGAGCAAAATCTCAGCATTAGCTAATTTTTTAAAATAAACAATATCTATGCCGCCAACTTTTTTTAAAAAAGGGGAGCATCATGGATCACATGGTGTTGAATCCCTTCTCAAAACTTGAATTATAACTCAACTAAGATTGGCATGTCCCTCTACAGTATAACTAAATGATAGCTTGAGAGTTTACATGAAAAAAAATTAAAATAGTATTTCAATTTTATTTTCATTTTGTTAGTGGCTCCTAAAATTAATCAAATAACTTAAATGAATGAATGATTGATCACAAACAAAATCATATTATTTTAAGAAAACTGTAGTAAAACATTTATTAATTCTATGTATATTTTAGCATTAATCATTTCTTATATGACCTTTCAACTATCTAAACTACGATGACAAAAAATTTCGTCATCTCTAAAACAAAACTATTATTATATAAACTACTTATTTTATCTTTTTTCTATCATCATTTGGTATTGCACTTTTTCTAGTTGTTCTACAACATTTTTAAAATGTATTATATGATATTCAAATATTTTCGTAACTGACACATCACAAGAAATTTCAATTGACCAATACAAATCTTGATGCACAGTTTATTTTGGAAACATTCGGAATTAAATTTAAAATCTTTCGAACTCTGATTTAAGCAAACTTATAATTAAACTTAGCATCTTGACAAGAAAAACTCAATGACAACAAAAGTAATTCAATTTGAGCTCAAATGAGCCCACATCAAGCACATAACATAAAGTTGAAAATTTTGGGACATTGATTGAAGGATCAAAAGATCTTCAAATTTGCATGCGTATAACCAAATCAAATGGCTTAATGAGACGAACCTAACAAATACAAATCGCTCAATTTTGATGCCATTAATGCACTTAAATGATGAATGAATAGTTTATGATCAAAGGATTCAATATGAACTGTCCAAAATACTATAAAGAGACCCCCATTCTCCGCAAGAAGGGGATCTGAACTTGAGTTTGGAGGGAGAATGGAGATCTAAATAACTCTAAAACTCTACCTAAAGATAAAGATTGACAATCACCTCCAACTAACTCCATTGTCTAATTGTAGTCATCTGACCAACATCATCATCTAGCTGCCTTCACCCAACCACTGTCATCCAACCATCATTATATGATCACAGTTGCCCAATTGTTACAATCCATTCACCTTTGTTCGACGACCATCATAAGAATGTTGTCAAGCAGCCTTTATTGCCCAATTTTCATCACTTGGCCACCGTCATCCAATCATCGTCCAACTAACAACATCTAAATGCTGCATCTCGAGCATTCTCCCGCACATTTGCAAAAAGAAAAACTCATATTAGGCTCCCGTCTTCTCCAAAAGAAGAAGGAAAGGGGGGAGCGTGTATTCTTATAACCTATTTACTTAGTTGATAATTACATCGGCGCCAAGCCCAGTCAATTTTTTTCATTATGAATGACCTGCAATGCTTTATGGTGCAAAATGTTGGCCATTAAAAGAGAAACATAATATTAAGTTAAGTGTTGAGAGATGAGGATGCTTAGGTGGATGAGTGGCTTTACTCTTAGAGATAAGATACAAAATGAGCATATACATGAAAAAGTTGGAGTAGCTCCAGTGGAAGATAAGATTAGAGAGAGTCGCCTTAGATGGTTTGGTCACATAAAATGGCAGGCTTCCAATGGCACGGTGGAAAGTAGATGTATTATATTTAACTTATGTTAAGAAAGGTAGAGGTAGACCTAAAAAGACTTATTTAAAAAAAATATTAGAAATGACATTTCTTTATTAAATTTAAATGAGAATTTAACTCTTAACATGACACAAAAAAGAAAAAGGATTCATGTAGCCAAGCCCACATAGTGGGATAAAGGCTTGATGTTGTTGTTATTGTTGTATGGATTTTCCATGTAAAAAATCCGGTATCTAGTATATTTTTTTTTATTATCTGTTAATTTGACTTTTAATAGGACACAATGGAGAAAAAGGATTCATGTAGCCGACCCCACGTAGTGGGATAAAGGCTTGATGTTGTTGTTGTTGTTGTACCAACTGTTGTTCATTTAATCTTGATATAATTAATGATTATCAAACCTAGAGTGGTTAGTTTATCCTAAAATAAGTCAAGAAATTGATTGGGGAGAAGAAAATGCAGACTTTGAAAATTTCATGCAGCCGACCCCACATAGTGGTATAAAGGCTTAATATTGTTGTTGTTGTTGTTGTATGAATTTTTCATGTAAAAAATCTAGTACCTACTATATTTTTTTATTATGTATGTATGTACCAAATTGTTGCTCATTTAATCTAGATATGATTAATGATTATCAATCCTATAATGATTAGTTTATCCAAATTAAGTCAAGAAATTGATTGGGGAAAAGAAAATGCAAACTTCAAAAATTTCTTTAGGAGCACCGCGACACTTGGATAGATAGCGCCAAACATCTATTTAAATAAATTAGGAAAATTTTGGAGCATTCAGTCCAACACAGCGATGCTAGGGAGGTGAGTGCCGCAAAGCCAGACCAAAATGAGTTTTTTTATATAAAAAATATCTTAATCCATCTCTACCATCACCATAACCCCAGCTACCTTGCCAGAGAACAAAGTAGGGGAGTAAAGATGAGAGAGAAAGAAAGAGAGAGTTTGGAGGGCAGAGCCCTTTATTCGTCCGTCGAGCCAATTAGAGATTTTGTCGAGCTCAAGATAAACTTCTAAACTCTATCTCTTAGTTCAAAGCCAGCGATTTTATAAACAGATAGGAATAAAGTGTATTTTCTCAAAATTTACAACATTTTTACCATGAAACTTATCGTATGTTGGTGTATGTTCCATACTGAATGTTTTGAACATAAGAAATCAAATTTTTACTAATTTATTTTTCCTATGCAAATTTATAGGTATATGAAATGAATGAAGTATTTATGGCAATTGTGTTAGTTATATAAAAGTCTTAAAATGTTAATTTGAATATCCTTCTAAAGTTATAATTAGAATGGAAAAACTTCAATGAGTATATTTTTATACAAGCTATGTGGCTCACTACCGATAATTATAATAATTCATGCATTGTTAGGATAATGCACTAAAATAAAATTTGTTTACAATTGCAATTAAATGTGCATAATTCATAGCAAGACATGGAAGAAGTTTTGAGTTTTGAAATATGAAAAGTGCACTCCCTAAAATGATACAAGGGTCGTATATGTGTTTTGTTCTGCCCCATCTACCTTGTGTAGATGTGAGAGGGATTCGAATCACAGTTGTTGAAAGCAGGTGTAGGAGTTTATTCTTCTATGTGCTAATTCTAACTCTGCTTGTTATATCCCAGTGTTGAAGGTTAAAAGGAGATTAAGTAAAAATGGAGTTATAAGTAGGCATCAAAACATGTGTATAATATTCATGCATCATATTTTCTGATAACTAAATAAATCAAATATAAATGATGTTATTATCTAGTTCCAATTACTTTTGAATCCTTATATGAATTTTGATAAAATGAGAAAATAAAAGGCAAGTAATACTCTAATAACAAGTGCTTTGTGACATCTCTAGTAATTATATGAAAGTAAATTGTAAAAGTGTAAGTAGTAACTTTAAAAATAAGTATACTCTGATAACTCTAAAAAATTATGTTATGTCAGTACTTTATTTAGTTTTTTTATTAATTTTGAGTATTTAATTAAATTATTATTTAACATTTTAATTAGATATTGATATTTGTGATGGGTTGGTGCTACAAGTCTACTAAGCTGCTTGAGCTCACTTTATGAGTTTTTTTATATTTCAAGAAAAGGAAAGAGGCAAAGAGCACAGCAGTGTAGAAAGAGTAAGGCAGAGCCAAGATATTCATGATCATAATAATTAAGATATTCTTGTGAAATCAAGTATAATTCTTTTGATGTATAGAACAGATGTGGAATGGATTATTGTATATGTGTTTTTGGGAATGAAATCAAATTGTTGCTTCGATTCATGTTCTTATTATTTGGATTTTATAGAAGCTTTGATTTGTTTTGGTTTGTGGTGGAGTTAAATTATAGGATTAAGTTATCAATTCTTCCATTAGATCCTAGGGCGTCATAATTTGTATGTTGGATTTCATAAAAGCTAGCATGTAAAAATCCTCTCCCTATCAAGGCAAATCTTCTAGCACGTAGCAATCATTATATATAACAATTTAAGAAAATGGTAACTAATTTTATTGATTTAAAACTAAAATAAAATAAGTATAAAGTTCAAAACTTTTTTGTTGTAAAAGTAAAATGTAAATTTCAGTTATGCGCGCTTAGGATAGTACATTTTTGCTAATGTCACATTCAGAACCTTAATGGCCATAATTTAACTTCCTTTTTACGCCCCCGTATCTCTGGGTCAATTCCAATCGTATACTCTTAGCTTTCAGAATGGAATTCGCAACCACTTTTGTAGCTTCCCTCTACCATTTCTACATTAATCAAGATTCAACAGGAAGAATCTAGGATTCAGCAATTTCAATTCATGATGATAACCCAACACAACGATAAAAAAGACAATAAAATTATTCTGACAATTCAAAATGTACCTGTTCAGGGGACTCTTCATCCATGGAGTTCTTTAATTACTACTCAAGGGCTTTCTGATCCCTTAAATACCTGACTAATTTACCAATAAGCTGAAACCAAAGTAAACAGACCAATATCAGGAGATTTTCTAGTAAAGGAAATCAACATAATTTTAATATATTCCTGCTATACCATGAAGTCTTCGGTCTGGTTGAAGCTCTTTAGAAAAGCTACAAGAACATCCACCGACCTTTTGAAGGATCACACAAAGAATCACCAAATTTCCTGTCGTAGGAGTTCAGAAATTCTTTCCAATTTCCTCGACAGCCATTCAATTCCTGCTTGTGGATCAATCTCACAACTTCTACAAGAACCTGACACATTTAAAGCATCGTTAGCTTCCGTTTCATCAAAGACACCTCGACGAAGCATTCATATTTACACTCCGAACTCAGTTAAGAGGACGCGAAAGAGAGCGAGGAAGGGAGGGAGGGAGGGAGAACCTCTTTGCCTGCACCGGATAATATGCTGCCGATGGTGCCGGCGACGAGCTCCATTCGAGATGGATGCGGTGCATGCAAGAACGGGGCAAATTATTGGGTCAGGTGAGGTGACGGAGGCGGAAAAATAAGTTTGGACATCCAATAAAGAATTGCCGCATCACTTTGAGCTTCTTTTGACTTGCGCTTTACCTGTTCTTTAACTGTACTTTACTTGTGCTTTTTGACTAACGTTTTAGTTGCGCTTTAGTTGCGCTTTACCTGTGCTTAATTTAAAATAATATTTTATTAATATCCGGGCCTATCTCTAGGTCCGATCACCTGATCCAATAATTTGCCCAAGAACGGACGTAGGGTTTAGTCAAATATTTCAGGATCTTTGAATGGCTACATGACCTCTTTTAGATGGGGTTTTCTTACTATTTTTTAAAATAATTTATTAGTATTAAAATTTTAATTTTTTAACTAAAAAATTATTTTAAGAAGCAACGAGAAAGCCGTTCCAAATGAAGCCTAAGAGTTGGGTAGAGAGTAAAGCTCGGACGCATCTTTACATCCAGAATCTAATAGCAAGATTCCACGTTGCGATCCGACGACCCGACGAACCCACTCGATTTATTTAGCATGTGCTTTTTCATTTACCTTTTACCGCATGATTTCCCTGAACTGAATCATTTTCCCCGCAAAATTTTGAAAAAGGCCGCTCTTTTTTGTTCTATTTTATGAGAAATTGGTGTTTTTTCTACATTAGGGTTTAGGATCATTTCTTAGAAGAGCGATGTGAAGAGAAGCAAGGAAGACGAATTGAAAATAGAAATCTCTTTCGATGACTTTGAATAGTTCGAGGAGATGGAATGTCACAACTCGGCCCGGATGCTCGATCTAACGAGACAGGTACGAAAAGTCGGACGATACTACATTTCCATCAATATAATAATAACTCATCATCAAAAACTTTTTTATAAACTGAAGAGCCACTATACACAAAAAATTTAATTTACCTGTTATCATTTGCACGG